ATTTATTAAAATAAAATATTAATACAAGTTATAGTTATAAGTATTTTAAAACATGAATTGTTGCTTTAATTAGTAATCAGGGATAACGAATTAACATAGATCTGTTACAACCATTGCACCTATTACAACCATTACACCCATTACAACTGTTACACAAAATACAACTGTTATATCGATTACAGTTATTACACCTATTACGGCAAAAATTACAACTTCTAGCATAAAAAGTTGCAACCTTTCAACTTTGGAAAATCTATTACGGCAGGCAACCTTAAATCAAGGTCCACTTCAAAAAACAGTGCAGTTACAATATACTATAAACCTGGAGTACGAATTCATTTCTAATCAAGGAAATGGCAAAGGTGATGATACTGGTTATGCTGATATGAAAAAATAATAATTTTTTTTTATTTGTATATTGTTGTTTCGGCAACATTTTTTTTATTTTTATAATAAAGGTTCTGGGCACTAAAGTGTCATCATTTTGAAATATGATATTTTGGAATGACTTACATGTGTTGCATGAAATAAAGAGGGTCCTGGCATGTTGTGCTATTATTACTTTACCTCTAAAATTATGCATATTCAATAAGGGCTAAAGAACGCTCTTTTAATTCTTTCTTGTGCGGAGTAGTAGGAACTCTCATTTTAGCCTCAAAATTTTGCTTGTATTCTAAGAAATCAGCCTCACTCATACTCTTGCGTTCTTTTTCCAGTAATTAGAGTTATCCCGTAATTCAAAGGCAATCTTGGCTCTCCATTGTTCTAACTTTTCTCAAGACATTTTGAACTTTTGTTGTAAAAGAAGGATAAGAGCATCTATATCTGATTCATTTTTGATGAGAAGCTCTGGTAATTTTTTCGAATCAATAGATATATTTACCTTTGCATTAGTTTGATCAGCACGATTTTTGATAGAAATTTCTTTAGTTTCCTCACTTACCTTAGTTTCTGGTAATGTTTTCTTGGCTTCCTTACTTACTTTGGTTTCTGATAACTTTTTAGACTTGGCTGGAATCATATAAGAATGATTATTCTCTGTTTTTAAAGTCATATGACTCTGATCGTTTCCTTGGGAAACTGTTTTTGAGGTTGCTTGATTTATAATGTTTTGAATTTGTTCATTGGTTAATTTTGAAATATCATTTGTACTGCAGGTGACATACTTGATTTTATTCATTCCAACACCATTTTCTCCAAATTTTTTTAGCTTTAATTCGTAATGCAACTAATGTAACACCTAGTAGATGTTTTAACATTTTCTTGTATATTTGAGTTCTTGCAGTTTTATCAGTAACTCCTGTCTTATGATGAATTTCAATAACTTTGTTCTCAAAATTATCTGAATAACGAGTCCAGAATAAAATTTCTCATACCCGGATTGTATTGCATTTCGAAACAAATGGATTAAGCTTTGTGTTGTAATTTGAGATGTTTTCATAGATGAATTTTGTTCTTTATCTATGATGTCTTCGGTAGGTGAAGCAATAATACTACCACTCTGTAAATCTCGTATTAAATCCAGTTCTATATTCTGATTTTTAGTAAGCTCAATTTCATCAAAATCGTCAAAATCTTCCACTGGTAAAGAACTCGGAATAGTTTTTTGTTGATTGTTTACTTGGGAAGTAATTTTTATTCCACCTTCGATTGTGTCACAATCATTTCCTTGGGAAACAGTTTTTATATCACATGATAAGTCTTGGACTTGGCTTTTAGCCAATTTACGTTGAAGCTTCTCCCTATTTCTCCGTTTTATCTCGTTACTAACATTTTCTTTATATTTTGAATCTACAAATTTATCAACCTCCTTATCTTCTGGCGATATGGATAAAGAGTTGGATGTAACAGTGGTTTTATTTGCCGGAGAGTGTGAAATATCTGTAGAAGGTATATCCTTTTTGTTAGTAATAACTTGGGTCTGTAGTTTGATTTCTCCAAAGTCATGCCTTAGTTTTGCTACTTCGGCTTTAAGTTTAATATTCTCTTCCTTAGCATATTCTAATTCTGTAATTCTAAATATAAGTTTGTCAGTCTCGGTCTGACTCTGCTCTAATTCTTTGATTCTAGCTATAAGTCTGGCATTCTCTTGTCTCAATAAATCTAATTCAGAGGAGCCTTTATATTCACCTCTTTGAGCCTGCATGTTTGATATCTGCTTTATATAAGATACAAATTTATTCAAAAGCTTGAGTTTATAAAAACTATAAATAAAATTCATAATTGGATTCACGAAAATTTTCGATCGTATATAGATTTACTAGTTTTTAGTTAGTATATATCGATACTCTCGTATTGAAATAATATCCCGAAATACGCACGCAAAAGTAAACATGATTATATATGCACTGAAATCGGCCACCAGGGCTTTATTGATATAAAAAATAAAAACAAAATACAGAATAAAAATATACATATTCAGAAATTTTTTATCTAAAAATTTTTTGGTGGAGAATATGTTGTCGACATCATTGATGTTGATAGAGTCCGATCTTCAGTTACCGGCAAAAAACTAATTTGTCCTTCACATCAACAGACATTGCAATAATTTTTTCTACCACGAACCTTATTTTAAGGGCGTTTTTTAAAAATTCTTCAACTATCGGGCGTGAGGAAATACGTAATAGTATAACCAACTCACATATTCAGAAAACCCGATAAAAATCATCTTCAAATAAGTCTAATGCAGAAATGACTACACGATCTCGTATTACTTGGATACCTAAAACAGGAACTTTCTTTAACTTGACATTTATCAATCTGGCTATATCGGTAGTATCATCCCTTCCATCAAAAAAAATGTTATATCGTTCATCAAAACAATCTTTGCAAATACGTACCAATTTTTTCCAATCGATAATTTCTTTATCTTGTTGAGGCAGTAATCGTGAAACCTCAGCAAGTACTATTTCATTTTCCACTGTATCAAGCTTTAACAAAACTTGTAGATCCGGCTTCTTTCCTGAATTTGTGGCTTCCATTCGTTCCATCCTAGACTGTGAAGACTTGTTCGTCTGCTCAGACCTATACGTATTAAAATTTATGTATAGTATTTAGCAGGTATTTATATATTTATAATGATCATTATAAAAATAATTATAGTATATATATATTACTATGCACGTTTAAGGGACCACTTCGAATATGTGAAGATTGGATCTAAAACCTTTGATACAGCATAAATTATATATGAGTTCTCACTGTAATCATCTTCCATTAATAATGGTCTCAGACTTCAAATATGTTGCCTGGAATTAGAAATACTCTTAATTAATGATATAACCTTATATAAATATACACATAATTTAACGCAAATAACTTACAATCCTTCTAACAAGTCAAAAACCACCATCAGTATACGTCTGGATTCAATAGACATTTCTCCTCGTGGAAAGGCTATTGGTCGCATTAACACAGGATCAAAGTCAGGTC